GAGGTTTCTGATATCGAAGATTTAGTGTAAGACTTACAAAAAACACATTAAAGGCATCCAATGCGATTTCAGGGCAGAAAGACTGGAAATATTCTGAATAAGGCAATCTGTATGATATTGACACATAATGCCCAACATTAGCACATTTAAATTAGCATTTCATACTTCGGGCATTTATAGCTGCAGAAACAAACCTCAAGATGAGTCCTTTATTTTCTGGGTGGTACCTTAAAAATCAGCCCAGGGCCCTTCCAGTAACCATTTTCCTTCAGAATTTTGGGAATTTTTGCTCCATGGGGGTCAATATACTTTGGGATAGTGTGGTTTTAACTCTGAGTCAGTAATACGTAGATAAGTGACTGGAATATTGACTTTTAAAAGTTGGGTTTCCATGCCCTAAAAACTGCACTCAGTCTGGATGCCTTTAAATTTGCGGTGCTTTAATTTTGCAGTGCAAGCAGGGCTCTTGATTTTTTTTTTATTTAGGCCACACCAATTAAATTTCTTGGTTAACGGGTTCGCCCGCTTCGTTTTTTTCTGATTTGAAAATAAAAATTCAGAATCAACTGCAAAATGCTTATATTTTGCCCCGAACAGTTGAAAACAGTCCTTTTCTTCTATCTTCCAATGGAGTGATATCATTAAAAAGTTCAAAATTCATTGTTTAAATTTTGAACCAGTCTGGTGTGTTGACTTCATGGCTCCTATCGTACCATTTTGGGCCATAATAGGATGCCTAGGCCTGTTTTTATTTTTATTTTTTTCCGCCCGCCCGCTCCATTATTTTTGTAGAAAAATCCGTTAACCAAGAAATTAAATTGGTGTGGCCTTAGCCCAGGTTCATGATCAGACCTAAGGGGAAAGTGCTTGCAATCTAGGGGGTTCCATGCCAGGGGCAAATTTGAATTTGGGAATTTCAAGCGTAAGCTGGCATAAGAACAATGCAATTTCCCACATTCTGAGAGTCAAATCATTGGGCTTGAGAATGGTTTTTGGTGTTCCTTTGGATGTTTTTTTATGTTTTTGCCCAAGTTTTTGTAAATTTTGTCCGTCAGGGTTGACGGATTGGTTCATTCTTCTTCTGTCACATGCCACAAAGTTCCTGCAATTGATGAAAAACGGGTGCTGGCTAGAACCCTGAGTGTAAGGTCATCATGAAAACTGCAAAAATAAGACCAGTCATCACTGCATTTATAGTATTTTTATTATGCTTACCGAAGGAAAACATATTGTTTTTACTCAGTTTCTTCCTCCTCTTCTGTTCCAAACACTAACCTCTGACCTGGCCAATGACATGATTTGTTGACGCCTGTCATCATGGTGACTGGTGTTGGGTTACATAATGTTGCAATTTCATGGTCTGCTCTACTCCTGTCACCACCTAGTACATGTATGTGAATGTGTTTGAGTAAAAATTAACAAGGCAGACCATGTCCAAAGGTAAACATTATGCATTTGCTTTGCAAATCTTACTTCTCTAGTTTTGGGTTTAAGTCAACTTACATGTATTGATGCTTGGTACTGAACACAGGAAAGCCATCAGACCAGGAATGCTGTCTACTGCGCCATCATTCTGACTGAGTTTGTGAAGGAACTCTCGGCGATCGTGCAGGAACACGCCGTGACCCCCCCTCTACTGCTAGAAGAAATCACCGACGCTTCCGCAACTGACATAGACCACGAAGTGTTCGGGAAGGCTGCCTCGGAACTCGACGCGGGGGAAGATACGAGAGCACGAGACAGTGTCAGAGAGGAAGAAGTTGAAGTACATGAAATCCCCGTCACCACTGTTTGATATTAGAAAGTGTATGATAGCTAAAAATACTGTGTCTGACTCAAGTTAACAAATCTAGACGCTGGGACATTGATATAGAGGTAGAATGAAGGAAATATTTGTCAACTTTTCATGGATGGAGCCTACTTTGTATGGTGTTCACAAGTAGATTCACTCAGTTGCCTTTCTTGTTTTCTCATGGCAAAAATCCTACCTTGTCTTTGATAATGAAAGGCAGCACAGGATTTTTTAAGGATTAAATGGAAGTTAAATGTGTAAATGAAATGTTTGAGTGGAGATGTTATGATATGGCAGTGGAACCTGGAGAGAGTAAGTGAAAGGATATACCACAAACATTAATAATATCATCTTTTGAGAGTGCACGCTCAGAGCTTTTTAAAATGGTAGGACAAAATTTTTAAAAAATGTCCTGTATCAGACTTTTATTGTGGTGTAATGCCAGCAAGTGCCCTTCTTTACTGCTGTACAAAGTACTGTATCTATGGGGCTTGTCAGATTTCAAACTATACGATAAAATAAATACTAGTTACGGTTTTTATCCACACCTTTACCACTAAAATATATGTAAGACGCAGATAGGGCTGAAAACTTACAGTTCTCTTTCTAGGGCAGCCATTGGTGTAGAGTCAGAAGTTGATGCAGTATTTTCAAAGGAAAATCATTTTGAAGAACTGTATCAAAATGTTTACATTGTGATTTATCAGTTCTAGGCAATATTTTACTAAGATATTCCAGCAATTTGTACACTCTATAATTTATTATAATTATTTATAAAATGGTGAATTTGTGTGGATTGTAATACAAGAGTACAGCGATAAACTTTGAAATGCGATTCAACATTTCAGCATGTTTTTATCAGTGTCCAAGTACATCAAACTTTGTATGAACTTCTAAACAGAACTGTCTGAAATTATGAAATGGCAGTCAAAATTATATCATACAGCATACTTTGAAACAGAGTAGACTGAAAATTCTTTTTTTCAAACCACTGAATGTTATACCTAGCTTAAGTACAAAAGATGATACCATAGTTACAACACAGGAAAGCTCTCTCATTCGATGTCCAAAACGTCACTAAGTTAATGTGAAAACCATCTAAACTCATAATCATTGTTACACAATGTTTGCATAACATTTACATTCAAAGGAATTTATTCTAAGGTCCAAATCGCTGCAGCCAAATCCAACCCCCAAAACAGTCTGTAACAAATGAAGTAAATCATAGAAAACAAGTAACAAGGAGAAATGTTTAATATGCTATCAAACTTTATTACACTTGCAATTTCTTTGTACAACCATACTGTTCAAAATAGTATGTAGCTGGGAGCGTTACAGAAATGTAAACTTTTGCCAGCTTTTTGCTTGTTTTATAGTGTGTCTAAACTGTCGGGTATTTTGTGCATTCTGGATACATCATTCTAAAACTTTGTAGCTACATTATACATATCAGTCCTGCAGATTTTATATAAGATATAGACGTGTATGAATGGTTTATTTCAACGGTCGCAAACATAGCAGCCAGAATGGCTGGATTGTGGTGTGACATGACAATTCCGTACATCATTCTGATTGTAGTGGCACCAATCTTTTTCATCAGAGACTTACAGCAAAAAAATCAGAAACAAATCTTCCCATCGTATCTTGAAAGTTCATCTGTGCTGGTAGAAATCATTATGAAGCAAGTTTAAACTGCAATTTCCAACACAACAAATTGGACTCACCCAAATTTTCGACTGTACAACTCCAGTCTTTGTCAAGGAATGGGAAATCCACCGCTTCCGAGAATCTTCCCATCATCTTTGGATAACATAATAATACAGTTCTCATTTTCCATCATGTAATATATTAAATAACAGCATCTGAAGTTTATGTTATTCCTGATCATAATGGTATAGAAATGTTATATTGTATATTGTAACCTATTGGAAGTACATGTTGTTTAAATAGGAAACTTGAGTCTCTATTGTGTTATTCTGAAGTTGACATGCACAGAATAAGGTGGTGTCTACAAAGATACAGATGCAAGCACAAAAGATCCCACCACTGTAACACTTACTGCAATTAATTCTAAAAAAGTGACCTCAAGTCAAGTGTGGATGATAATAATTATGTAATAAACCAAACAATAATGTTGAGTGTTCAGAATCAGATACAAGAACACGATGGATATTTTTATAATGTTGAAAAATTTCTACAAAGTCTATCTTGCCACTGGAAATGACTATTTATAAAGGAGATGCAGGATTTTACTATCTGTGATTTTAAGGTGTGATGATAGTAAGTCTCCATTGGTGAACACTCTCTCTACTATATTGCATTTTCTCTGCTGCTTTTGTACATAATGTAACCTATGTAGTGCCTTGGTATCGAATACAGAACTGTGAAGGGATTGTTGTGTGTCTCTTAAATGTATGTTGTGATTTTGTGCTGTATTTCACCTGTTTCATCTTCATCAGGGCAATTATGACTGGTATACTAGTACATGTACTGTGCAACAAAATTACATTTTACTGTAGGTGTTACTGCTAACAATTTGGTCCCAAACAATGCAGTCTGCTAGCACGTCGGCAGAACGTACTGCACCTGCGCGAAACCCGTAATGTATTGTGCATAGCACTTTGGCAGAACGTCTCATATAAGGTTGTATTCGCGCATATAAGGTTAACACTACGTCTGTAGTTTCCAAATGTTACGTCGGACAAAATATCCTCTGCAACAGAAAAAATTCTAATGCAACGTTGACCAAAAGTCGACTGAAAACCGTGAAAATACGGGGTTCTGCGCAGGCTCAGTCTGCTAACGTAACAATGCGGTCAATGCATTGTCAGTGAACCAGTTACACCTAGCTTCAGTGCAGTCATAACTGCCCTACTGAAAATTACAGAGGGTAATCAAAAACGTTGGCTCTTCTTAAACGAGAACTTTGCTATTCGATCATTCACCAACCTGATATAATCATTTACAGATGTACAAGAAGCTAGTCTCTACCAGACTAATTATGCTGGCTATATGTAGGAGAATAATTGCCAGGGGAGTTTGGCCGCCTTGTAGGTTTGATTTGGAGGGAAAGAAACTACCTCCCCGTGGCCGGACTCCCTTTGCAAATTTTTTCTCTTTTTTTTTTTGCCGAATTCTACGATCCGTATTTCCGTAGAAAGGCCTAGTGGAGGCTACTGAATATTACCTATGTTGGCTTTGCTATTCAATCATTCACCAACCTAATAAAATCATTCACAGATATACAAGACGTTATTTTATGAAAAACTTAAACTGTATCTCCAACTCAAAATTTGACTCACCAGAAATTTTCGACTGAATCTCTCAGTCTTCCTCAGCTATCTGACCCAAATGCTGTGGACACATGATTTTTCCCACGTGTGACCTCAGCAAAGGGTCAAAGGTTGTCTGAAGTTGATATCGCCCCCCGTCCCGGTTGAGCGATGGTTGAAGTGCCCTGATGTATATGGCCTCTTTGATGCCTCTCTTGAAGTAATCCATTATTTGACTTAAGACAACCTTTGACCCTTTGCTGTCACACATGGGAAAAATCACATGTCCACAGCATTTGGGTCAGATAGCTGAGGAAGACTGAGTGATTCAGTTGAAAATTTCTGGTGAGTCAAATTTTGAGTTGGAGAACAGTTTAAGTTTTTCATAATGTAATTTACCAACTCAGATGAACTTTCATGCTGAAGACGTTATTTTACAGCTGTTCCCATCACATGAGGAGCAAAGATCCACCATGACTTTGGTCCACTGATCCTCTCCCACTCTACAGTGGAGAACCCTGCCTGTCCCAGCTCTTCCCACGTGTGGTCTTGGACAGAACACCCGCCATAGAGCAGCTGTAACACCGGGTCAAAAACCGCCTGGAAAGAGTTGGTCCACGAACCATATTTCCCTCGTACCTGCTCCAAAAAGTAAAAGGTTCCACCCTGTAAAAGTACCAAAAGAACAGAGAGATAACAGTGCTGACTAAAAGTAAAAAGACTTTTTTTACGCAACCAAGTGTTTTATTCAGCCTATGTTCAGTCTGACAAAAATTGGGGGCATTTCTGACTGATTCTATAGTAAAAGCGGTGACACCTGTGCTGTGCAATGTGAACCAGTCAAATTTGCCCTGAAGGTGACAGACGGTCACTGAAATGTTGGCTGAATAAAACACTTAGTTGCATTTAAAAGAAAGTCTTGTTACACCATTACCCATTATCTAACCAAGGTCATTATCTAACTGTAATAACATAATACGGATAACATAATAATGGTATGGATAACTTAATTATCATTTAGTTGTAATTGCTACATCTAAGCAGCGAGTTTAACTCTACTGAAGGAAAGCATATTGTTTTTGTTCTGTTTCCTCTTCTTCTCCTAGCCTGTGAGTCTGAACCAGACGTCTGTTACCATGGTAACTAGGTAACTAGTGTTGGGTTACATCATGTTGCAATTTTATAGCAGGAGGGATTTAGACTCCTGTCTGACCATGTGTTTGAGTAAGAATTAACAGAGCAGACCATATGGGAAGGTAGACATATAATTTTCATTTTCTTTTCAAATGTTACCTTTCTAGTTGCTCGAAAGGGGACTACTTACGGGTTTTAAAACGCGTCTGACTTCGCTGAAGACGGCGGCCGGGTCCCTGACAGAACACAGAACCAACGTGCAGACGACAGCGTCCACACTGTCGTCTGCTACCTCCGCCATGTTCTCTGCCATGGCAACCACCACGGATTTTAGCGCCAAGTGAGAGTTCGCCTCGGCACTCTGTCTTAGATACTTTTCAAAATCAGGATTCGGCTCCTCGGCGGTTACCAGACTTTTAGGCGGGAAATATTGGAAGTTAGCTCCGCCACCTGCTCCAATTTCTAAGATTTGCACCTCTTTCGCAGAGCACCCGTTGAGAGTTGAGAACAGTCGACGCTTGTGCTTGTCCATTTCTCTGTTGTAGATCCTCGGTGTTAGGCTTATGAGGTAAGCGTAGCCCCAAGATCGAATCCTCTTGCTTAAAAGCAGCGGGATGCACAAAGTTACAAGGAAAACGGCGAAAACTGCAACTTCCAGAGACCTCAACAACTCGTAGGATGCCATGTTGGACGGTGTTACTCAAGGTCATTGACCTCTCCTGTGGTTCGCGCCAACTCCGCAAGGTGGCATTCGTATCAGCAAACTGACTACCCTGCTGACTACCTATACAATGTAATCCTGATATGTATGTTGTGGGCGGAAAAGCAAGCTAACGCTATAAACTTCGAATTCGCAGCCCAAGTAGCAAACCTAGGATGAAGGCTAACTCTTTCGATCGATATCGTTTCCCTTTTTAAGCTTGACATATTCCCATCTGGCCAATAATAAATAGTGCAGCACATTGATTTAGCAGGATAACACAAGGAAACACTTTTATAATAGAGACAACATTTATTCAGAGCATAGTGCATTGGAAAAGATATTATTTAGTACATGTAACATTGTTATTAAGTATTGATTTGGTTAAATGTCTGATTATTTATTTAGCTCGCGGTGCCTGATAATCAGTATTTTCTACCAGTCAACCCACTGTAATGCAATGTCGTAATTCCAATAAAATACAAAAGATATTATAATTACATGCATGTATACATGTATAACTGTTACTAAAGACTCTGTAAAAGGCCAGACCTGGAACATACTCAGATACCCTGTCATACTAAGTTAGCCTGGTTACCAAACCTATTATAGCTCCCGAGTCCTACATCCTCTCCGCAGAGGATGTAGGACTCGGGAGCTATTGGTAACCAGGCTATTTACTAAGTGAGATGTTGATACTAGTACTCAGTAACAGCTTTTTATACTAAGTTTTCCTACTTTGTAGCAGTTCCCATAAGATGAGGTGCAACAAGAGCCATCCTAATCAGATTGGTGCGTCAAACTTTTGTCCGTTGACTTGTGAGAAGCCTGCCGTGTCCAGGTCATGCCCGTAGCCAGGACTTTGAATGGGGGGTTCTTCCCACTGTTTGAGGGGACCACGAGCGCCGTAGGAGCGAGGCGAGCGCCGAATTCGAAGGCGCGAGGTTCCTAGGGGGTCCAGGGGCATGCTCCCCCGGACAATTTTGATAAATGAACCTTCTAAAATGGCATTTCGTGCATTTTTGAGAGGATTTCCAAGAAAAAGTCAGAGATAAATTTTTATTCAATGACAAAGGGAGCAGTTTTTCTACGATTCCAGTCCATCTTTTCAAGAAAAATCTTGGACCTTTACATAAAGAGTGGACCAAAAAGTGGACCTTTACATAAAAAGTGGACCAAAAAGTGGACCTTTACATAAAAAGTGGACCTTTGAGCCTTGTGGGGGGGTTCTTCCGGGCTACGGGCATGAAGGTGTTTCCATAGTTCAGCAGATCAGACTAACCGTACAGCCGTCTGCAAGGCCATGGCCAGACGATGTCTACCCAGTTCTGTGTATGGAGTGTACCTGGGCGGCACGGTCGTGTTCCCTAGAGTTGAAATAGAGAAAATTTAGTATTTTTATGTGAAAAATACCGAGTTGTGATGAACGTCCAGGCCACATTTATTTGATTACATGGATGACATCCGCGCGCGCATTAATTTTCGTCCGTTTCCAAAATAAAAATTAAAAAAAAAGTTTTCGACCATACTGGAGTGCCATCCGAATTTTTTTCGGGGTAGCCGTTACACATTCGGATGGCACCCAGGCTAGGAAATCGAACAAAGTGGCTGCAAAATTAGCAAATGTATGCCTTAAATGAAAATATATAACAGTTATATATATAACGTTATATTGGAAAGTGACCCTTATGTCGCAGAATGCCTAAATCCATTCCAAAGGAAAGAAAATGTGAGGCAATGAAAATGCAGGTTCTATTATTCACCATGCCAATAAATGTATCTTATGCAAAGTTGCGAGTAAAGTTTGATTACTTTGATTAAAGCAATGTAAAACAGTGCCAGGGTAACTTAGACTCATTCACATGCCATGGCAGTCCATTGAAAGTTGTTGAACTGTAGGTATTTTGAAGGACTTCCAACTTCCAAGAAACCAAGGACGTTTAATATATTAATGTCCTTGAAGAAACATTGCTCAACTATTCAACACCCCTCAAGGCACAGTGAACGCGCCCATCATTTGGCCAATGACGAAACGCTTTCCTATTGGTCGAATCCCAGTAAGGGACCATCCGTTTATTGTATCTAGGGATGTCTTGTTTTCATTGCGATGAAAATTCGTTTGGTTAGAAAGACACTTTCTATCAATAAAATGATACTGACGTTTATGATAACTAGCATCATAGAATCTATATTTCGAAACGGAAGAAAACGTCATTTTTCCAAAATACCCTCCCTGTTTGGTGAGTAGTGAATTGTCCCTCTTTTTAAATAGCATTCCTAGCGGTTGCGTAAAAGGGGCAACTTCAGTCTTGTAAGTAGGTCAGCAGCATGAAACTTCTCAGTTACCGGGACTCCTAGCAAAGATCCTGTCACTCCACGCCATTTTCCTGTCACCGTTCCTCACGTGCAGCACCACCCCTCGAGGTTATGACGTTCTTCCGCCGTGTTGTCAAGAAAATATACGAGGATCCGGATGTTCCAAAGGCTTTGTGCTCGATCGGGCTCAGAGATTGTTAGATCAGTAACGCTACATTACCGGCCAGATCGCCGTTAAAAACCGTCTGAAAAGATAGATCAGACTCCTTCACAACAAGGATATCATCTGGAGGTATCTCGGTGCCAAGAAGAGGAACCATGGATGACGACGACGGCGAGAACGTCGTGGATTTTTCTCGGTCCGACCTGGAACTATTCCCCGAGCAACTGACAGAGACAGCCGGTGCCTTGGACTGTAAGACCCTCCTGCTAACGCACAACCGTATAGCGATCCTACCGCGGACCATTTCTCAGTTCCAGCGTCTCGAAGCCCTCGATTTTAGCTCGAACCACTTGAGTTACATCTCCGAAGAGATCATACGGCTCCCCAGACTTCGTACTCTGATCGTGAAAAACAATCGGTTAGACGAGTCCGCCCTCCCCAAAGATTTCGGACTTGCCCCGTCGCTGGAAGTACTGAACCTCAGCGGGAACCTTTTCACAGATTTTCCCTTTCAACTCACGCAGATGGACAAACTGAAAGCTCTGTACATCGGAGGCAACAGAATCAGGACTCTACCGCCGGAAATAGAGAACATGCAAGGGTGAGTTGCAACGTTGGATAAATTTGTACATTTTGTACTTCCGGGATTTCATCATTCGTAATATTTGTGCGGTTCCTGTTATGATTATATTAAACGTCACAGACAACGTAAATAGAACCATGGAGGTAACAAAAAAAATCATCTTTATGCTACGTAAAATATAAAATTACTACATGTACGAACTATGACATAATGGTCAATGTCAATGAATTTGGATACAATACATTTTGTACATTTGGTTGTGTGCACTAAACACATAAGGGTCATATATGCGTGTATAGATTATGAAACAAATTAAAAAGACAACTTTTATTTGCCTATGAGCTGAAACTGTATTGTTCCTAGGAAATCTTACCCATTTTCTAATATTCTTAAAAACTGCATGTCATTCCTTACATGCATTTTTACAGTAATTTACTAGATACACTTAAAGTACCTACCCACATTCACACCCACCGCACCTGACATGAGTCAGCACAAAATGTCACAAGACAGATCAAATTTCACTTAAACAAAGCATGTTCCACAGCAGTCTTTGTCTGTGGAATAGTGTGGAGTCATTCTGCACTGCACAAATTTTATCTCATCGTCTTGTGACATGACTCAAGCTAATAATTTTAAGATGTACTATATAGGAACACGGTACAGGGCTCGAAATGCTGGGTGCATGTGCACCTTAGTGCACCCAAATTTGGAGCTGTGCACCTAATTATTTTCGTAGGGTTACAAATGTAAATATGTTAAGTGTATAGTAGTATACAACATATTCTTAAAGTCTGTCAAAAAATAATAAAACCATTGTAGTTACTATAGTACTTTTCATTAGAAATGAAAGGTAATTAGTTTTTGCTAACGTTGTACTTATTTCATTCTTATGGTGCACCCAAATATTTTTTTATGCACTCAATTTTTTTAGGTTGGGTGGACCAGTGCACCTTTTCCCAAAAATGAAATTCGAGGCCTGCAGTAACAACACATAACAATCTATCATCAGATAGACAAACATATCTAGCAAAATTGCAGTATTTAATTAAAGCCATTTTTTCTTAATGTAAATGGTATTATTTACTCACATTTTGGACTTCAACAGCTAAAGAATCCATGTGTCAATACCATGAAATGGAATGCACCATACGAATATGATAAAATTGTCAGTTTTTCAGTGAAATATTTCTTCATTCTTTTTGGGCACTGCATTGAGCCTTTGCCTGGATGTTGTTAACATTATGGGGGGCCTGCAAGCCCTTTCCCGTAGAGCGTAATCGGACGTTTTAATTCTACGTAGAGTGCAGAATGACCGCTCTAATTCCACGTTGAGCGTAATTGGAGCATTTTGCGTAGAGCGTATTCACCGTTTTAATTCTACGTAATGCGTTGTGGCCACTTGGAATTTATCGTAAAGCGTAATCGAGAAGTTTCCGAATTCAGCATAGAGCGTTGTCGGGACCCCCCCTTGCAGGCCCCCATTAATATTATGTTGCGTCTGTTCAGTATTTAGACTTAGTAGACAGCAGAAAAAAGGCAAAGTCCAACATTGATGGGCAACTGTGCTAAATGGAAATAATAACCCAAGTTTGACGTCAGTTGAGGTGAAATGTCAAGCCCAAACTGTTCACCTAGACTTCAACAAAACTTTCTGTGGTCCTCTGGGCTTTCTCACGTTTTGAAGTGTCGCTTTCCATCCAGTCTGTTGACGTCATCATTCCACTTAGGGGTTTTATTCCATGCCAACATCCAGGGGAAGTGGGTTGGTGAGTTGGAAAGCTCAATAGGGGTGGTCAGGATTATTTTCCCATTTCTTTCCCAGGTGCATTTAGAACCCCGTGTAGCAATGTCAGTGCATGACTAAACGGTGGCATTTGGCATGATCACCTTGTCCAATTGCTTACTTGTACATGTAGGAATGTGCTACGACTCAGTAGGAAGTTTTCTGACATGGCAAAGGCCCAAAGGACTTACTGAGTCTAAATGAAAACACATGTTGTTTTTGCCTAACTGTAATGTGTATTGCTAGTAATTTGCTACTGTAGCTGTTCTGTAGTAGTATGAGAATCCGAGTATCTGACTTAGTCTTGTAAGTTGTATAATTATCTTGTGGACTTTGGAAATTGAATTTTTGGCTGCCTAAATTGCTTTCCAACCCAATTTTTTAGTGTCATTAATTAATACATTAAAGAAATGTCCTGTTAAATTCTAGCTTAGGTGCCATACCCAGTAGTATTCGCCCACTAGCTTACAATATAAGAATAAGATCTATCTTAACGTTGCTGTTCGAACGTCCGAACGGCTTGCCTAATATGTACACATCTTTCCTACAAGAGCGCCCCCCTAAAAGGGCTTAGACGAGTAATTCAAAATCTGAATGAATATTCAGACTCCAGATACTACAAATGTCATCAAGTCCACACCCAGTAGTAGCTAGCGACATTATAGAGCGGGCGAATACTACCAGGGATGGCACCCAGGCTAGTTAAATTCTGGTTTTCTGAACGTATATTACTAGTATAAAACGTTTTTCTAAATTTAAAGTACATTAAGCTTTAATAATAACCGTTCATTGTTTCCACCTAGCCTGGAACTCCTGTACCTGGGAGGTAACTACCTAACCAGTGTACCAGTAGAAGTGAGCACCCTGTCCAACCTGTCCTGTCTGGTTCTGTGTGATAACAGACTACAACACCTGCCCAAGGAACTCACCAGGATGAGGAGTCTACGTTCCCTCAGTCTACACAACAACATGCTCACTACCTTACCCACAGAAATGGTCAAACTCAGGTAATGAAACAGTGTCTCTTGGATTTTATTTCAATTATGGCTTCACCACAAAGTGGTGAAGACATATTGTGTTCCCTCATGTTTCTCCTTCTTCTCCTCCTGTCATTTCTTTAAAGGGATTCAACTCAGCCGTTTTTCAGCCAAATGACCTGAAATTTGGCATGGACGTAGAGTGGGCCAATACCCCGACGCTTTTTTTTTTCATTTTTGGAAAAATTGTTTTATTTGGGTTTTTTGGCCATTTTCAGGCAAAAAATATACATTTTGGGATCTGGAGCCCTGGTACTAAAACCAAATGAGCTGAAATTTGGTATGGGGATACGTTGGACATATGTCTGCAAAACCTAATTCAAGATTTGACATACACTTTAAAATTGTGAAAAATAGGGGGTATACACTATTGGCAGCCATCGTAGGATAGATCCATTTTCGGTATGGGGGATGTGGTGAAGCCATCTGTTGCATTTGCTCCCTAGCAAATGTCGGCCTTTCTAGTTTTATTTATTTTACCAGAGGATTACGCTCAGGTCTTTTGACCTGTTTTTCAGGTATCTCTGGGATGAAATACATAATATACATGGGAAAAAAAACACACAATAATAACAATATACATTGCAATCGTAACTCAATATACATTTTACAATCGTAAACATATGCCACTCAGTCCATCGCATAGGTCGATAGCTGCCCCTCATAGTGAATTTTTGAAAGCTGTTAGAGTTGTGAGCTCTCTTTGTTCCTTGGAAAGTTGCCAAATGACAGTGATTTTTACACTCAAAACAAAACTTTAGGCTTGAGCTTATTTTTGTGTTTTCAGCCATTTTTATCAGAATATCTTTTTTGTACAGGATTTTTTTGTTGGGCTCAGTACTCCAGTAAAAATTCCAGTACAATAAAGAAAGTGAGGAAAGAATTATATTATATAATTATATACCAAAAATAAGCCAAAACCTAAACCTATAGCTATGCTTGGTTAGGAACTACATGTATATGTAAAGCTTAGTTGCTGACTTCATTTTTATGTCCTAGAGTCAGTGTTCATTACTAAGGCCACACCAATTTAATTTGTTCTCGGATTTTTTCAGAAAAAATATGAAGCGACAGGGCGAAAAAAAATAAAAATAAAAACAGGTCTAGGCATCCTATTATAGGCTTAAATGCTACGAAATGAGCCATGAAGTCAACACAAAAGACTGGGTTAAAATTTAAACAATGACTTTTGAACTTTTAATGATACCATTGCATTGAAAGATGGAATAACTGTAACACCTAGGATGAAAAGGACTGTTTTCAACTGTTCAGGGCAAAATACACATGTATGAGCATTTTGCAGTTGATTCTGAATTTTTACTTTTATTTGCAAATCAGAAGAAAATGAAGCGGGCGAATCCGTTAACCAAGAAATTAAATTGGTGTGGCCTAAGGTCGTAATATAAGTGACAGAGATGTCATTTTATGTAAGATATTTACATCACTTCAACCATAATGTAAAATAAATTTTCACATTTTTTCTCCCAGAAATCTTCAAGAGCTGAGTTTGCGTGGGAACCCTCTGGTAGTCCGGTTTGTCCGAGACCTGACCTACGACCCTCCATCCATGTTGGAGCTGGCGGCGAGAGTGGTGAAGAACCAGGGCGTGGCATACTCTCCTGACAACTTACCCTCCACTCTCGTACAGTACCTGGATGGGGCATGTAGATGTGTCAACCCAAAGTGCAAAGGCAAGTTTAGTATTGATTTGAAGATCTGTTCCCATAGGATACTATCTCTAACTTAAACAGGCATCTTTTTGGCAATTGCCTGCAGAGAAATTGTTAGACTAGTCTCCACCAGACTCCAGAATAAATAGTAGAAATCATTCTAAAAATTGGACCCTCTATGGTCAGCTAACTCCCCTGGCCAGTTACATTCAATTACAGCCAATTTCTACTATAATAATTCATTCAGCCTGCAAAGGAGTTTGGTGGAGACTATTGTTAGACAGTAGGTTTTTACAAGAGTAACACAGTTTGTGATGCTAGAATGCATTGTTATGACATTTTGTTTTATATATTCACTAGAAAATATTACTTTGAGAAAGACTTAATGTTATGTATGTACTGGGTTGCCACAATCTGAAAAGTGATATGAGGGAGCTGGCTGGTTACATGAGGGAGCAGTGCCATCATTCCCATTTAGAAAAACCCTGACTCTATCTTCCTCCTATACACAGGTGTGTACTTCGAGTCTCGTGTCAAAAACGTCAAGTTCGTGGACTTCTGTGGGAAGTACCGCCTCCCTCTACTGCAGTACCTCTGCTCGCCAAAATGTAGCGTCACGGGCCACGAGCTCGCCCTCAGCGACTCGGAATCCGAGGAGGAACCCAACGTGCCTGCCAACAAGATGAAGAAGGTGCTTCTGGGATAGCCCCCAGGTGCTTCTGGGATAGCCCCGTCCCTGGTTTAAGTCTTGTGGAAAATTCAGTGTTCTCATTTCTGTAAATCTACATTCAAAAATCATTCATAATTCTTTTGGACAAGGAGGTTATATCTATGGAGATTTCTCGACTTAAATCTCATTGTTTTCAGCTTCTGAAAAAGTAGACATTTTGCTGTTAAGCCTAGGGAAAAAATTTTGTGTTTCCTGTTTCCCGACCAAGCCTAGAAAAACTGCCGACCCTAGAAAAACTGCCGACCATAGACTTTTTTTGGATAATTTTTTTGAGCTGATTGACCTTTTTTAGCTCCATGATCGGACACCCGAGTGATGAAACGTTGTACAAGTGGTTTTCCATCATGTACATTGAAAATAGAAGTGTCCTCTTGCAAGTTTCTCTTTGTTAAACTGTATTGTATAAGTTGGATCACTAGAGATTACCAAAGTCTAATATAAAAAAGAAAGAAAAAAACTAGATAATCCCTACCTACCAAACCCTAATATAACCTTTTCAGGACTGAAACAGGAAACACATTTTTTTCCTAGGCCTTCAAGTCTTGTGGAAAACTCATTTTTATTTCTGTAAATCTACATTCAAAAATCATTCATAATTCCTTTGAGCTTCTAAAGAAGTAGTCATTTTGCTGTGAAAAACTATAAAGTGTGACAATCCAAACTGAATACTGGTGCTTAGGCCACACCAATTTAATTTGTTGGTTCTCGGATTCGCCTCTTCGTTTTTTTCTGATTTGCAAAAAAAAAAATATATGATTCTGGTTCTGAATCAACTGAAAAATGCTCATGTTTTGCTTCCAACAGTTGAGGAAAGTCCTTTTCTTCCTAGTTGTTACAGTTTTCCCATCTATCATTGCAGTGGTTTGATTAAAAGTTCAAAATTCAATATCTGAATTTTAACCCAGCCTTTTGTGTTGACTTCATGGCTCATTTCGTAGCAATTTTAAGCCTATAATAGGATGCCTAGACCTGTTTTTATTTTTTTTTTCGCCCTGTCGCTTCATATTTTTTCTGAAAAAATCCGAGAACCAACAAATTAAATTGGTGTGGCCTTACCTGAGAAATAGATACATTGTAAGCCGCATCAAACAATAAAAGTTTGTTGCAAATTACATGAACTGCCGGAACTAAAACGTACATGTTTGTATATGTGTAACTGTAAGTGCACTTGTGACAATATGTACCATGCTGTGGGTGGGCAAAACCTTTTTCTACAAAATGTATGGTAAATTTCCATGTCAAAGAAGGAATATTTTGGAATGAGTGTTGCCTGCTTGAACTGGAGACAAAGTCTAATTGACGCAAGGCAAACGACAGGCAGGATTGATTGGAATTTGAATGGTGAAGACATTAATTGTATTTTGTGCCCATAGGCAAAGCCTGACTAGATTTGCAAAAACAGAACCGTCTTTGTACATAATAAATGTATGTAGGTTGTATGTTTGTAGTGTAAGCAAAGAAGCAAATGATTTTTTTCAGATACATGTGTATTTTACTATGTACTTATCCACAACATACATGTACTGTAACAGTATCCATCACGTAAAATGGCTATCTCAAAAAGTTTGTACCCGTAGCTGTGATAACCGATTTTATCCCATTGCTGATGGAAAGTCATAATAGTCTATATCTGTCATTGAAATGGAAATAGAACAAGACTGGCAATGAAAACATACAGTACATTGCCATGGCGACAGTGGTTGCTGTTAGGGTTATTGTTTGCATGACACTGCCATCATTTCATGATTTTGAGGAAGACTTGGTACAGATACAGTGCACTCCTCCCCTGAGTGTATAGTGAGCAAGCCCCGGGGGGGGGGGTCTTCCCAAGGGTTTCCAGGAATGTGGGCATAGATGTGGGTCAGAGAAATGCCTGTGGACATTCCATGCCTGTGGACAAAATGCCTGCGCCATTCCTAGAATTCTTGCAAACTGCACACAATACTGTACCATTAGGCTCCTCCCTGAGACGTCGCCAAAAAGTGCAATAGAGAGTGTTACCGATGAGATGATGGCAGTTGCTCTACGTACAGTATGTGCCATGTCAATAGACTGAAAGTTTTGTGGAAGCAAGAAGCTAGCACTGTACGTACATACGCGTATTGTGAACATTATAAGACATTGTGCCAGTATGGTCCAGCTTTTATATTTTATAGGGCATGGGCTTGTTTCAACTTTGGATAAGGGTTTGGTACTACCGGTACATGTTTGGTACTACCGGTACATGTTCATATATATCTGCTGTTATTTTGAATATGGCCACACAAGTCAATTAATGAATATCATTTTGTGTCTCCACAAATTTTGTTCTATGTGCTTGTTCATGTGACAATATTTGTAGTATTATTAACGGTAAGGTGTCGACAGCATTTTGTAAAACTGCTGCAAAATGACATGAGTACGTCATGTTTTAAAATAACATATCACTAAACACACATTGTTTTTTGACCCCTAAAAGGGATATCATGCTTAAAATCATGATTGCCTGTCCTTACTACGTGTACTAATACTACTTGCAGCAAAAATACTAGCATTCATGTTTTTATTTTAACATTGTATGTAGATGTTTATCAGTAACATGGCACTAGCCTTGCTTTCAGTAGTACTGGACACATAAATGTACAAGGCATCAAATGTTCCATCTTGAATGTGATAAAGTAGACTTTTCTGATCGATCTTAAAAGGAAAGTTAACGTTACATGTACTTATAAAAATGAGTGTCATTGCCAAAATGTAGCAGGTCTCTTGTTTACCATTTGAAAAAAAACACGAGACAGTAAAGAGGATGGAAAAAAGTTCAGTTTCCAGTTTATTCAATCCTTTTTGCCATACATTTGTCATAAAGTTCATGCAGTTCTCCCCATCATTGACAGGAGGCTCTTCAAACACACTGCTCCCCATACAGCATGTATTCTTAGCTCCATGTCTATTTAGCACACAGAAACTGCACAATAATCTACCATACACCCATCCCCATAACAATATCTCATCGAAAATTTGGGTGAGTCCAATTTTTTGTGCTGGCAATTACAGTTCAATCTTGTTCATAATGACCAACACAGTTGAACTTTCAAGATAATATTTCATCTTGATATACATGTACTTTTCGATGTTCTACCATCTTTTTATATTATCATCACCAATAATATCACATATTTTTATGTTTACGAACAGACAAAAACATACCTCATATTCATAACTCCCATACAAGATCTCCAACCCTAAAATTTGTACATATAACAACAGTTATAGGGTTACTTATAGTTACTAGCAAGATGGATTTTTGTGATTTTTAACTCTTGGTCACCACTAGTTAGATACTATCATCACATTGGATACTTCCACCCATAATGGTCATGTCTCTTGACTGGTTGTATCCATGGTGGCCTCAGTTCTCTTCTTAGTTAGGAGGTTCTTTATGTAAAATTCACCTATGAACATGGAAAAAAGAAACATCAAATTGAATGTCTGAGTTGAGTTAATTTTGGATCCACAATTAGCATACATATATGTAGTTGCTATTCTTAATTTGGTCCTACATTTATACAACACTACATGACACACAGGAAAATAACATATACAAAGCAAAGATACTGACAACAATAAACAAGGACAAATGTTATGTGACAAGTGCAGGTTCATGTATTTGAATGGACTGTTTTGGTGTTTAAGAATTTCATAATAAGGCCACACCAATTCAATTTGTTGGTTCTCGGATTTTTTCAGAAAAAATATGAAGCGACGGTGAAAAAAACAAACAGGTCTAGGCCTCCTATTATACCCCCAAATGGTAGGACAGAAGCCATGATGGCAACAGAAAAGGCTGGGTTGATATTTCAACAATGAATTTTGAACTTTTAATCAAACCAATGCATTGATAGATGGAAAAACTGTAACAAGTAGGACGAAAAGGACTTTCCTCAACTGTTGGGGGCAAAGTATGAGCATTTTTTTAGTTGATTCAGAATCTTTTTTTTGGCAAATCAGAAAAAAATGAAGCGGGCAAATCCCAGAACCAAATTAAATTGGTGTGGCCTAAATTGTAACTGTAGATGCCAGTTGCAAATCTTAACTGGAAGGATGTAAAAAGACTGGCCATTGACGGAAATTACCGGAATGCTCAGACTGCCTTGTGTTAGAATATATGGGAGCCCCTAAGGCCACACCAATTTAATTTCTTGGTTAACGGATTTGCCCGCTTCATTTTTTCTGATTTGAAAATAAAAATAAAAATTCAGAATCAACTGCAAAATGCTCATATTTTGCCCTGAACAGTTGAAAACAGTCCTTTTCATCCTAGTTGCTACTGTTATTCCATCTTTCAATGCAATGGTATCATTAGAAGTTCAAAATTCATTGTTTAAATTTTGAACCAGCCTGCTGTGTTGACTTCATGACTCCTATCGTACCATTTTGGGCCATAATAGGATGCCTAGGCCTGTTTTTATTTTTTTCGCCCGCCCGCTCCATTATTTTTCTAGAAAAATCTGTTAACCAAGAAATTAAATTGGTGTTGCCTAAGTCTAAGTAAGATGCATTAAGAGTAGCTCCTTGCTCACCTGCCCTGTAAGAAGACCTGACGAGGGGTCCACTTGCTGTATAGGCAAACCCCATCTCACCCCCAACATCCTCCCAGTGTTTGAACTTGGCAGGAGTCACATATTCCTGGACCTGATTTACGGTATACAAATACATCAGAACTTTCAGAACAACACTTGAGAACCAAGATTAATTGAGGTATTCAAAAACTCGTATTTCCCCACAACTATCGTAGACTGGAACTCGTTGCCACCAAGCACAGTTGGGGCATCATCACTAGAAAGCTTTAAACAAGTCCTGCAATCAAATGTGCAAAGATGAGTGTAACAAGCCGTTCGGTGTGATATAGCTAGCTGCCGCCGCGCCGCGTGCCTGCGAAGCTGGTGTGTTACGCCGAAGGGCAGTTATACCAGCTATACCGATACAGATACAGAAGACACATGGAGAAATATCAACTGTAAAATCATGTTAGCCACACAAGTCTACATCACAGCAACAAAACGTATTTAACAGACTGTTCCCTTTTTTACTTTCTTTTCTTCTGGGATGGGAGTTAGAACTCTTGTTCAAACTAGGTATCTGTTACTTTCTATAATGTACAAGTGGTAGTGAGAACATAAGTTGTGTACAACTTGAGTCCGCCTTCACTTTGGCTTTGTCTTCTTATTTGAATGAATTGATGTAAATAGATATTATATATATAAATGTCCCTGCTACGGCACGGAAAAGTCGTCAAAGATTCGTTTCTATGAAAGTAAACACGAGTTGGACCAACCTTGAGGTGTCTCTTGGTGGGCTGCATGTACTGGCCGAGGGTGAGACAATCCACCCCTTACACTTCGTAGATCTAG